ATTATTTTGGAGTGACTTTTCAAAACTTATCTTTGTAGGTATCTATAGAACTATAGTCTTAATTATGAATGTGATCGATTGCTACAATACCATAGTGCATTCTATTTAAATATATTTAAAATGAAAAAAAAATCGATAAAGTAAAAGAAAACCCAATAATAAAACTGGTAGTTCCAAATGATAACCGTTGGAAGGTATTTTTTTTTTTAATAATGATAGGTGATAAAATTTTCCTTAGCCACTGAAATAGTCTACATACAGCAGAGACTTCTGGTTTTGTTTTATTGTAAATATCTTTTTCTTAACAGAAATCCCTGCCACTGAGCCCCCACAACTGCCCGGCAGGTGCCCAGAGTCAGCGCACACAGCGTGGATTCCTTTCCACGGTCATTGCTACTATATCGAGTCCTCGTATACAAGGAACTGGGGCCAAGCTTCTCTGGAATGTCTTCGAATGGGTAAGTGTCACATTTCCTGAAAGGAAATTTGATAATCATCTCTTCTGGAGTCCTGTGACACTCATGACACCCTACAATAAAAACACAAATAATATAAAAATGCCTGTTTTTATTTTAATGGTTTATTTTGTAACAGTGTATGGTCAATATGATGTTCCCCAAATGTAATTTCTAACTTTCTAGCATCAATATTTTACAAAATTCAGATAGAAAATGATCGTTTGCTGAGCAAGTATTTCTTTCTTTCTGCCCTCATGTTCTAAGTTGTTAGGATTCCCTTTCCCAGTTGTGCACAGTGTTGTAGTTGCCTCTCATGATGGATGAGCTCAGACTTTACAAGGGAACCATTTTGTTTCACCATTAATGGAAAAGTATTTACATCTGGTTATTGTATTTGTGAAGAAAAACAAAACTTAACTAAAATAGGCATGACGAAGATGAATGATTTTCCCCCGAAATAAAAAATGTCCAATAAAGTTAACTTTTTAGAGAGCATGTAAGAGCTGCTTAGTTAAATCCCACTAAATATTTTACTGAATTATTTTTACTATGTTTTTCTTATGCATAGAATAAGAAAAACTTACTTAGGGTTCTTCATCCAATGGTGGTGTGCCAGGATAAAAATCAGTCATTTCCAATGATGCTACCTGATGTGTGCTTTAGACTTTTATAGCTTAAAAAAGTGTTTTTCTTCATGTTACTTAGTATTTAAAAAAATTTTTGCAATGAATACATAGAAACTTTGTTTTCAATTTAGGTGACTATATTTTCCAGTAAATAAAATGAATGATTCTTATTCTCACTCTCAAAATAGGTAACAGATATTTCGAAGTGACTAATGTCTATAAAATATACCTAATGATGGATTATGAAATTATGCAGGGAAAACAGGCATTAAAGGGATAACCCAGAAGTCAATAATACGGAAAACAGGCACGTGGTTAAGTGCCTCAAGGTTCATAAAACCTGGGCCATACCATGACTGCGTCCTCTACTAGTGTCAGGATCTCAGCAAATTACTTATCCTCTGTGCTTTAGTTTCCTTATCTATAAAATGGGGTAACAGAGTACCTATTAATGAGGTGGTCGTAAAAATTTAATGAGATAATGCTTGTAAAGTCCAAAGCAAAATGTTAGCTACGAAATTCTTTAAAAAAGGTATTGGTTATTATTAAAAAGCTATAGATTTTTACTATAAATTCATCAATTCATGAGTGGACTAATAAAATGTGGTATATGTATACTGTCGAGTACTACTCAACCACAAGAAACAATGGTGCTCTAGCACCTCTTGTATTATTCTGGATAGAGCTGGAGCCCATTCTACTAAGTGAAGTATCACAAGAATGGAAAAATGAATACCACATGTACTCACCATCAAATTGGTGTTAATTGATGAACACTTATGTGCACGTATAGATCGGGTGTCAGGCAGGTGGGAGAGGGGAGGAGGGAATGGGTTGATACACACCTAATGGGTGTGGTGTGCACCATCTGGGGGATGGACATGCTTGAAGCTTTGACTTGGGTGGGGCAAAGGCAGTATATGTAACCTAAACATTTGTGTCCCCGTAATATGCTGAAATTAAAAAAGAAAAAAGCAAGAAGAGGAAAAGACAAAACAAAACAAAAAAATCTAACACTGACACAATCTAATGTGGGTTGTCACTTCCATAGTTACCTATATGGTCTTCCAGTTTCCTCTCCTTACCTTGAGTGGTTCCATACATAACAGCTGGATTAATAGTCTGTCCCATAGTATGTTGCATCATTCCGCTGCCTGAAAACAACTAAATGTTCTTTATCACCACATTGCCCTAAATACCAGTGTCCTTCCTTCTGCAGGGAGACCTCACCCATGTCTTCTTTGGCCCATTGACCAGATTGGTGCTATGCTTCCACCAAATCAAGCCATCTCTGTTCCTGAAGAAGTTCTGTGCTTCCCTCTCTCTTTGCCTTTCCTCTTGCTACTTCTTCTTCCTGAAACTATTTTCTATCCTTTTTACTTGAAGTCCTGTGCTCCCCTCTATTTAAATTCTATTTCCTCTATCTTCCCTTTTAGTTGCTTCACCTAAAGTGAATATTTGAAATGTCCATAGCATATTGCACTTAATTTCTCTTCTATGATATCCCTTTGTAATCTCAACTTATTACTGGCCACTGAACCGTAACTTTCTTCAAACATGTTCTATGTCCTATTCATCTTTGAATTTCCTGCAGGGACTAGTTCAGTGCTTGGACTCAAATGATGCCTTAAAAACCATATTTTCAGAATGGAAACTAAAATTCTGAAAAGAAAAATGTCCACTCTGAAATTCTTGCCCTTAAGTAGAGTTTTTTCTGGCTCTTACTATCAATATTGTTCACAAAAATATTTTCAGCTACTTAAATGTACATCCATTTTATTTGTCCTTTTATGCTTTTCAGGTTCTTCTCTGGTTTCCATCGAAAGTGCTGCTGAGTCTAGTTTTCTGTCATATCAGGTTGAGCCACTGAAAAGTAAAACCAATTTTTGGATAGGATTGTACAGAAATATTGAAGGTAATTTTTTGCGGAACAATTATTTCATCACAGGTATTTCAAAATGTCATATGTAAAACAAGGTTTTATTTCCAGAAAGTCTTGCCTTAAATAATGATTAATTGGTGATGAGTTTGAAAATGCAAACTCATATTTTTATTTGAAATAAGAACTGAGAGTTTAAATGACTTTTACGTTATGCTATCCTCAAAGTTGCTAATTAAAAAATATCTTCAATAGCTAAGTTAGTTGAAGAAGCTTTAAAAAGCATTTTCTATTTTTTGGGGGCAGGGGAGGGGAGGCCAGGCAAAAAAAAATTTATACTAATTAGAAATAAATTTTCAATTAAATCTATATAATAAACATATTCTTCCTGGTTTCCTTCCCTATAATAGTTTGTCATTATAGTCTTGCCCGTTAAAAGCCTGATTTTAAATGACCATTGATTCTAGTATAAAATAATATGCTTAGAAATTTTGTACAGATAAGCTGAACTTAGTTTAAGATGGCTTATTTTTAACTTTTATTTTTATTGGTTTTATTTGATGACCAGGGATGTGGCTCTGGGTAAACAACAATCCAGTCTCCTTTGTCAACTGGAACACAGGAGATCCTTCTGGTGAACGAAGTGATTGTGTGGTTTTGTATGCGTCTTCTGGGTTTTGGAACAATATTCACTGTTCTTCCTACAAAGGATATATTTGTAAAAGACCAAAAAGTAAGTTAGAGGTTTGTCATGTGGTACATATGTTCCCTGACCATCATTTCTTTCAAACAGTAAGATATCAGGTGTGGGATTATAATGTGATTACAGGACCATTGTAAGCTTTTTCCTTTTGTCGGTGAGCAATCCATCATGCCATGGTGATCCGTTGCTGTCTGCAGCTCTGGGTGAGCAAGAGACACTCTCTGTCTGCTTAGCTGACATAATGATTTTGGTTTAGCAATACATTTATAATGGGATATCCATGCCTGTGGATTTGCCAAGCTGTAAGCAGTCAGGAGAGCCTTTCTACAAAGCTTTGCTACATGAAGGGAAAAGTGGGTAAAGTAATTACCAGCCCAAACCAGAAGAGGCCAGGGTTCTGGGGAGGAATCTGCATTGGTTATGGAGCTGAGGTGGGAAGATTGCTTGAGCCCACGAGTTCAAGACCAGCCTGGGCAACATAGCCAGACCCCATCTGTAGAACAAAATTTTAAAAATTAGCCAAGCATGGTTGTGTGTGCCTGGAGTCCCAGCTACTTGGGAGGCTAAGGCAGGAGGATTGCTTGAGCCGAGGAGTTTGAGGTTGCTGTAAGCTAGGCTGATGCCATGGCACTCTAGCCCAGGCAACAGAGTGAGACTCTGTCTCAAAAAATAAATGAAATGAAATAAAATAAAATAAAATAAAAATAAAATAAAATAATAGGTAGACAGACAGATACGTGGAGAAAGATAAAAATTTTTTTCTATCATATCATATCATATCATATCACCATAAATCAAAAATGGAGTATTCCATGTATTTGTGACCCAAATAATATTTACTATCTACATGCAATTATTCTGGGCTTTTATAAATATTGAATTAATTTTTTTTTTTTTTTTACAAACAGTTGTTGATGCCGAGCCTACTCATACATTAATTACAACAAAAGGTAAGACCATGATGGAATTTCAAGTTCTGTGTTAATACTACATCGGTGCGGTTTGTTTTAAAAGCCATCGTGATCTCTTGCGACTCCCCCGCACTCTCAGTTGACTTGCTTGACCTTTGGGTCATTGTGTCATCAACCTGTCTTGAGGGATACTTTAGAAAAACAGGCCTTGGAGTCAGGTTGGTGTTTTTACCATAAGAAGTTATCGAAGGCATTTTTTTGCTCTGTTATGAAGAGTTGCCTTGTGAGAACCCATGGAAGAAATTTCCCTCAAGAATCCCTGTGGGTTTTTCTTTTCTTGAAAAGTTTTTTGTTTAAATTCTTACAGACAATTAGGTAAACTGATCCTATTTCACTTATTTTGTTGGCTGCTAAAAAACTCAAAGTGAGATTTGTGGCTCAAATATAACCCCCTTATTAATCTCATAGATGCTATTTGTTTACTAATTATACCTATGAGTTCAAATTTCCACTATGCATATTTTCTATTTTTCCTAATTTTTTCACAGGCTTTTAAGTATCACCATCATTATTATTACTATTCTATTTATCTTCCTATAATGTATTTGTAAGCAGCCTTAAGTTATTTCGAAGCAAGATTTACGTAGTTTAAAAACTTTGATGAACTAGCTCAGTGCTACATAGACAGATGAAGTGTTCTTGCAACTGAATAATCATCTAAACATTCTTCATAATCCTTTATGTCATATGGACTCTTGTTTTCAGGTCTTGCATTTCTGTTTGACAAATGTCACTTGATAGACTATCCATGCATGTTAGTGTTTCAACAAGGAAGGTTGTATTGTTTTCCACAGTATTTGACCTTCTGTCTTCCTCCATATTTTCACTAATGATTTTATTTATTTCTAGCTGACTCAAGGAAGATGGATCCTGCCAAACCCTCTTCCAACGTGGCAGGAGCAGTTGTTGTCGTGGTCCTCCTTATTTTAATGGGTGCTGGCCTCGCCGCCTATTTCTTCTACAAGAGAAGACGTGTGCCCCTACCTCAAGAGGGTGCCTTTGAAAACACTCTCTATTTTAACAGTCAATCAAGTTCGGGAACGAGTGATACGAAAGATCTCATGGGCAACATTGAACAGAATGAACACGCAGTTCTCTAGTGTCACCGTGTGATCTTGATCGATTTGGATTTCATAAAATTGTAACTAAAATTTTAAGTTCTTTAATTCAATGTGATTGTTTCCTTTAAAATTCGTACTGTATTGTACTGGTCTGTCCTTTTCTTTTGCCTAATTGAAGAAATAATTGTTCATTTTCTAGCTGGCAAGATATTTTCACAAAAGAGGGATAATAATGTTGATTACCACTTTTAATAAAATCATAGTGAAATACACAGCATTACAGTGCCAACATTTAGGTATCACCGATACGTAGCTAGTGTCAATTTCATGCAGTAATCACAAGAGCTCTAGAAACAACCAATGAAGCCTCTTGAACTATTTTAAGGAACTCCCAAAGATATGTTACCTATTAAGCTGTATTTCGACAATTAGAAGACCGT